GGGAAAGGAGGGGGACACGGTGAGATCAAAGTGGAAGAGGGGTCATGAGATCAGAGTCTTATTCCCAAATTCAGTCACTAGTCATGTGGCTTTGGACAGGTCACTTCACTTCTCAGTTTCTTCATCCGAAAGACAGGGAAGGCATTTTCCATTTTTATTGGCATGTGTCTATTCCTTGTATCTTAATTTCATTAGAGACTGAGCCCAGGTCACACACACTTGGTCAAAATGAACCGTCTTTCTAAACCTCTGATTCACAGGCTCATACAGTGTGCAGAGTTATGTGGAATGGAGAGGTTTCCTCAATTCGACTCATAAATGTAAACTCCCCAAGCTCCAGGACACCTCCAGCAATGCAGAACTTCCACCAGCTAGTTCACGCCTTTTGGACAGTGTAATTATAACCCATGTCTTCCAACAATATGTCTCCCTGTAACTTCTGCCCGTTTCTCCCTCACCTCTCCTCCAGTCACACGAGCATCTATGGTGCTTGACTAGGAATGGACAGAGATTTGGAAATTTTAACTTCCAACATCACAATGTCACAATCCTAAAAAAAAAAAAACCAAAAAACTCTTTTCTTCCAGTGGAAAAAACCTGAAACTCAGCTAATCCTTACAAATTGTACTCAACAAAGGAGGGGAAAAACCCAACTGGAAATGATCCACCAGGTCAACATCACACACAGAGTGGCGAGAATGGGAATTTTCCATGCAGCGGGACTGTCCACATAGATAATTCAAGGCCATAATCATTCCCTACCCCCAAGCTTATGTGTTGTAGGTTTTCTTTCAACTGACTTACTTAATATTATTGGTGTCCATGTTTCATTTCAGTGGCCAAAAATAGGCTCACCAATGAGATCTGCAGCTGTCCTTTTTTTTTTTTTAAAGATTTTATTTATTTATTTGAGAGAGAGAATGAGAGACAGAGAGCACGAGAGGGAAGAGGGTCAGAGGGAGAAGCAGACACCCCGCCGAGCAGGGAGCCCAATGCGGGACTCGATCCCGGGACTCCAGGATCATGACCTGAGCCAAAGGCAGTCGCTTAACCAACTGAGCCACCCAGGCGCCCTGCAGCTGTCCTTTTAAATGCCAGATCAACAGGCCTCATTTAAGGGAAGAACCCTGGCTACACAATGCCTAGCAGATAATTTCTTAATGTGCTTTTGTTAATTAACGTAACTCAGATAAACACACATTTTTCAGGGATTTATGGGTCCAACACGAGAAATCTATGTATATTTGAAGTTGTTAAGCAAATGATTCATATAATTTTATTTGCATAACTGGACTAGATGAAGGAAGGAAAAGAGGAAAAGATAAAAACTGTACTATTGAACTTGTTAGTTTCTTTCAAACATTTATAAATAATGTAGATAATCTTCATTTTTTAAACAAAACTGTTTAACATCTGTTTTTTATAATATTGTTATTTCTTGTGAAACTGTTTGAAATTCTTGTTCCCAAGAATTACTTGCAAATATCAACTAAAATTCCAAAAAAAGAAACATGTGCACACCTCATAAGTCCAATAAATTCTTGATGAACTGAAAGCTGGAGCCCAACCGCACAGAATTCCAGATTACCTGGAGCTTATCCTGCACAACGATTTTATAAGAAAGTAGGAAACTACAATATATACATATATTTATTGATACATATTTTAAAGCAAAAGACTTGTTAAACATTTTATATGCAGTTCATATCCAACCCAATTGTACTCGATACACTTAAAAGTATTATGCAAGAAGAATAAATGTTCATGATGAACATCTACCTCTACTTCAAATCCTTTTGTGGAACAAAATAGGATATAAATCTTCTTTTATCTCTGTAACTCTACTGCTTAGCACATTGATTACACTTCCATAGTGAAATATTTGTGTAAACAAATGGATAAACAGTGGTAAATTGGAGCAGGACATATTAAATCTTTAAAAGATTTGTGATTGTATAGTATATGGAATGTAAGATTGTAGAGTCGTAAGGTTTAAAGAGACTTGGAGCTCTATCTAGTCCTCCTTAGTGCAGAAATCCTCCAAGAACATTCCAATATTTAAAAAAATAATTTGGTATCCACCACGATAGTGGACACACACACACACAATCATCTCCTTGCCTCAGAATATTCTTGTGAGATAGACATCTTGTAAAGAGGGAAACTGAGCTCAGGAAATAAAGGAGAGAAGATGAGGAAGCAGAAAAAAAAAAATCAGAAAAAAATGTCACATGTTTTTGCCAATTTTTTTCTATGGTCTAAGAGCCAAGGATAAACAAGAAATAAATCAGAGAGGATGAGAGAAGATGAAAATGTGCCTCCCCTCCCCTGTGGCCAATTGCACACACCAACATTCCATAATTAATTTACTAAGAAATATGGAGTAAGCCAAGCCAGCCCCTGGAACACACAATACACATAAATGAGCTTCCTCTCAGGATGTTATAGCACTGCAGGCAACAAAGATATTTAGGATCTGCTCCCAACTTTGCAAATTTGGGAATTATCACATAACTAAAGAGAGTTATGAGGAATGCTAAAACCTATTCTCCTAAGAATAATGAGTACAATTGTGTTTTTTATTTTAACTTAAAATTCAGTAAGTGTATGTCTCCCCTTTTTCCCCAAGGAGATAAATAACTGGAATGACTAAACCCTGCACAAAATACAGACATGGGAAAAAAGGTGGCAGTTTTAACTTTGAAATTCACCAATCTTGTCAGTTAAAGTCAGACCTAAAACATTAATTTATTCTGAAACATTAATTAACTGGAGCTTTTTTGCATTTAATTTTCTCTGGCATTTTGGAATCTATTCTAAGCCCTGTAGAAATGGCAGGTCTAATGTTATTAAAGTTAGCCTTTCAGGAAGTGCTCGAACTGAAGACTCTAACACATTAAAAAATGCTGAGAGTCCAGATAATGCAAATCTAAAGTATTATTAAAGGGTATTCTTTACATATGAAAGAAAAACCTTAATTTCATTAAAAATGAATTTAACTTCTAGCTTCCATTTTATATACTACCTGGGCCCTTCAAACTCCTCTGAAGAAAAATCGAAAGCCAGTTTCATTTCCTTTATTCATTCATTCAGTCAGTCATTCATTCAAATATCTACTGAGTACTAAGTACACGCCAGGCAGGTACTGTTCTGAGTGGGGCAAGGAAGGTCCTGTTTTCATGCTGCTTACAATCTAGGTGGGAAAATGACAAAAAACAAATAAACAAGACAATATATAAGAGTGCTGAGAACAATGAAGAAAGTAAAAGGGTGAAACGATCAAGAGTGAGTGGAAAGCCCTCTCTGAGGAGGACACATTTATGTCAAGTCTGAAAGATTAGAAGTCTGCCACACAAGGATTCAGGGGTAAACAGCTCAGACAAGAGATGTCTGCTGTCACTGTGGGAAGGCCAGACCAAACTGGGCGGGTGTGAGGAGCAGGAAGGTCACAGTGACTGCGCCCCAAGGCAGGGGATGGTGTCACCACCTGCTGACAGGGAAGCCTGGGAGAAGAACAGGTATGTGTGTGTGTTTGTGTGTGTGTGTGTGTTAGAGAGAGAGAGAGAGTGAGTGGGGTAAGTGTGTGTGTGTGAGAGAGGGTGAGTATGTGAGTGTGTGTGTGTGAGAGGGTGTGTGAGTGTGTGTGAGAGAGAGGGTGTGTATGTGAGTGTGTGTGAGAGAGGGTATGTGAGTGTATGTGTGAGAGGGTGGGTGTCTGTGAGAGAGAGGGTGAGTGTGTGTGTGAGAGGGTGAATGTGTGTGAGAGAGGGTGAGTATGTGTGTGTGTGTGTGTGTGAGAGAGGGTGTGTGAGTGTGAGAGAGAGGGTGAGTGTGTGTGTGAGAGAGGGTGAGTGTGTGTGAGAGAGAGAGGGTGAATGTATGTGTAAGACAGGGTGTGTGTGTGTGTGAGAGGGTGTGAGTCGATGTTGGCTAACAGTGGAAGGAAGGAGAATTCACCTCCTTTCCAAGTCAGACTGTCCCAAATGATTACACTTCCTTACTTGGGATTCTAGGAGCTTGAATGTAGATGGATTTGGTATAAACTACTTAAAAAAAAAAAAAGGTGACGCAGACATGGGAAAAATGAAACTAGGCATCTTACTAAAGTACAAAATGATGAGGCAGCACAGAATTCCATGACCACATCTACTTCCCAAGCCTCAGCTCTCCAGAGCCAGTAAAATCTCACTGCATCATGCCTCTTCACTGTCCAAGACATTTTTGTGTCTGAGCTTCATCACTCTGAGGGCAAGACCTACATACCTCAGATTATTTGAATTTAGAGATGATGACTATCAGGCACACAAGGGCCAAAAGTTTTTATTCTAAGTGTCCTTGCCAACAATTAGGAAAAGGCCGCCTTACTCTTTATTAACAAATCCTCAGAGGAGAGAATTTCCCTGTAACATAGCTGTCTGGCAATGGAGAGGGCCTAACGACTCATAAGCATCTCAGAAACAGTATTTCTCATACTGACTAATGCTACTAATGACTGTATCCTCTGAGAAACTGCTAAGGAGAAATTTTAACCACTGCTGGGCTTTCAAGGAATGGCTCCCTTCCCACGCTATAGGAGATCAGGCCTCCCTAACTGGGTTCAAAGATCTAGATCATCCTATGACGTCTTGCCTTCAATCGCGTTCACTAGTCCAAAGATGATGGGGTCACCTCATGAAAACAAAGTCCTGGGTGGGGGAAAGAGGTAGCCTTCTTGGGGGAGCAGAGAAGTAAACCATTACCACCAAGAGGAAGAATGTGTTGAAGGCACACAGGATGGATTTTGAAGAATGAATAGGAGTGAGTCGGGTTAAGAGGGTTGGGAGACAGACAGAACATTTCGGAGAAGGAGCTGACTGTGTGATATAAGGAGGCAAGATGGAGTGTGACGTTTGGGGAACGAGGTGCCCCCCTCGGATTTCAGCATAGGGTGAGGGGAGGGGAGTGGGCAGGATGAGGCTGGAGAAGACACTGTTGCCAGTACCATCCAGGGAGTCCTCAGGGTCCTGCTAGAATGTGCTAGAATATCCCAAAGGAAATGACGACACACTGAAGAATTCTGAGTTTGGGGTGTGTGACACAATCAAATTTGCATTTTAGAAACAGCACTGGCCACAGCTGGAGAATGGATCTGGGTAAGGCTGGGGGTTGGGAGTACGCCAACACTGGCAAGACAAAGGAACAAAGATAAAGTAACTAGTTTATTTATTTTTTTCTTAAGATTTTATTTATTTATTTGAGAGGAGAGAGAGACAAAGAGAGAGAGATGAGCCGGGGTTGGGGGGCAGAGGGAGAAGCAGGCTCCCTGCTGAGCAGAGAGCCTGACATGGGGCTCGAACCCAGGACCCTGAGATCATGACCCAAGTGGAAGACAGACCCAACTGACTGAGCCACCCAGGCGCCCAAAGCAACTAATTTATGTAAAAAACCAAAAACCTACCATCCTTTTACCTACGCTTGGCAGGAGCAGTCCTTGGCTAACACTGTTTCCCTGCTTGGTTCATGTGTCCTATACCATATTCTACTATTAAGTGTATCTATTTGTCTACCTGGCAGAGGCCCCTGGGGTCCCATGATCCTGCAAGAACATAAGATGGATGTGTAGCTGCTGCAAAGGCCCTGAGTACCTCTGTGAAGTACACTGGAATACTGAATGAAGGTTCATACTAAGAGGGGGAGCTAAGTCGGTAATGAAGGCAATGAAGAGTAAAATTAGGGAACCAGCAATCTGGCCAGAGATGGCCTCCTATAAAAAGATGGACGCCTGTTCATGGCAGCCCATTACCCTCTTTACCCCAGAAGATGTGCTCTTTGCATGCAAGAATCCAAGTGTTGTGAGTCCATCTCTTCCCACGTGACCTAACACCTCTGACTTTCAGCTCAAGCGGGACCTGCTCCGAGAGCCAGAGCTTGGACTGCCCTCCCATAAACCCCACGCCACCCACCTTCAGCAGGTCCACCCAATCATATTTCCATGCGCATCTTTGCTGATGGAGGAGGACTGCTTTTCATTCATCTCTGTTCTCTGTTCTCACAGCCTGGCATGTAACTCAGTGTTTGTCTTAAGAAACACTGTCAGTTACACATTGCTTTAAAAATATTGCATAGCCACTGTAAACAACAGTCTGGCAGGCCCTCAAGAAGATACCCATAGAATTACCGTATGACTCGCAATTCCACTCCTAGGGATACACCCAAGAGAACTGAAATCAACTGTTCAAACAAAAACTTGTACACAAATGTTCAAAGCAGCCTTATCCATAACAGCCAGAAAGTGGAAACAATCTACATGTCCATCAACGGATGAATAAACCAAATGTGGTATATTCATACAAAAGAATACAATTTGCCCATAAAAAAGAAAGAAGTACTGATACATGCTACAACATGAAGGAACCTTGAAAATACTGTTATGTAAAAGAAGTCAGCACAGAAGGCAGGGCATTGTATGATGCCACATATATGAAATATCCAGAAGAAGCAGACCCATAGTGACAGAAAGCAGACTGGTGGTTTCCAGGGAAGCACTGCTGAATGAGTGTGGGGGTTTCTTTCTGGAGTGATGAAACATTCTAGAATTGGATAGTGCTGCTAGTTGTACAATGTCGTGAATGTGCTAAAAACCACTGAATTGTACATTTTAAAGTGGTTAAAAGAGTGAATTCTACGTTTTTTGAATTTTACCTCAATTAAAAAAATTGTAACTTTGTAAATCTAACCTGACTCAAGACCCAAATACATGAACCTTTCTAGCCTGTGTGAGTGTCCATCTGTCCTTCCTTCCTCCCTCCACTCTGACACCCCTCTCCACACCTCCTTTTCTTTATTCCCAGCTCGCTAGGGACCTAGGACAAAGTCAAGCCACCCTGTAGTCCTCAATGTCACCTGTGAAATGGGATTTGTGCTAACCTGATCGTCTTACAATTTTTTTTTATTTTTATTTTTTTTAAGATTTATTTATTTATTTGAGAGAGAGAGAGCATGAGAGGGGGAGAGTCAGAGGGAGAAGCAGACCCCCCGCTGACCAGGGAGCCCGATGCGGGGCTTGATCCCAGGACTCCAGGATCATGACCCAAGCCGAAGGCAGTCGCTTAACCGACTGAGCCACCCAGGCGCCCTGATCGTCTTACAATTTTTTCTGCTCTCATGTTCAAAGGACAATTTACTGGAATGACGTAGGTCCCACGCCTGGGATGCCCCCAGCAGAGAGTGGGCACAGGGATAAGAACTCCCCTTCCTCCAAAGGGTTTGCACTCTTCTTGCTGATGAGGTGATCTGCTGAAGAATTTTAAGAGTCTGTCCACGTTCTCTGAAAGTTCTCCAAGATAGCAGTAGTTATAAAGAAAGCTAATAACCTACTCTTCTAAGGTAAAAAGAAAAAAAAAACTACAAATGTATTTTTCTTTGGTTTTTAATTAAAACTGACCTTTCTGAATCTATGGCTGGAGGCAGCGATAGTCATGAATAACGATGTCATTTACTGGTGACACTAACAATGTGGCAGTACAATGAAAAAGGCTATGATGAAAAATTCATCATAGAATTCCTAGGTCTCTACGTAGCATCTAATTGCTGGGGCGAGGGTGGGGGGGGGGGCGGGATACAGACTGAGAGACGTTATAATCACACTTAAACAAAGGACTGACCCAACCTTCTTTGAAACCCATTTTGGGATTCTCAGGAATTTAGTGTCAGTTTTTCCTTTAATGCTTCCAACAACAGGAAAAGCAAGGGGGAAGGAGTTCGATTGTTCCAAAGCGATGACATCTTGACACCAGGGGTCACCAGCCTCTTAAACTCTGAATGAGGTAAAACCAATGCCTCCCCAAGGGGCGGGTAGGTAGGAAGGAAGGAAGGAGAAAGGCTGGGGGAAGGAGAAGGAAGGTGAAAAGTAGGGAGGCATAAAAGAAATCGGCTCTGCTTCTTCAAAGAAGGCGGGGCTGGGGCTGGGGGAGGCGGGAGTGTGTCTATAGAAGTGTCGCTGAATGGCTGTGTGCCTCAGAGCGCATTTTCCCTAAAATCTAAAATGTTTTCTTCTGACACTAGCTGGGCTGCTTCCTTTGTTCCTCAGCAAGTCAACCCACACTGCGTAACAGATGAAGGGGAGCTGCCAGGAGAGGAAAATCTTTCTAAGGGACACCTGAAGAAAACGGAACTGAGCTTAAACTATCTCTCTCCTCCTCCTCCCATATTCTGGATTATTCCAAACTCAGGGGGCGCAGAAAGTGATCAGAATAAGAACTACCGGTAAGTGCAGTGACCGCAGTACAGACTGAATTGTTAAGTAGAGTGAGAGCCCATGGGAAGGCTGATGCCGTCAGGAACACTTCCCATAGGTGTGTGGGGCTTTTTGGTTTAGTTTGTTTTACCATCACATTAATTACTTACAAGCACTGGGACAGGTATCCTTCTCCAACTTTTTCAATGCACAAATACAAAACTGCTTGTGCTACATTTTCTTCCACTTCTTAGTGAGCGCTTACTACTGTGCCTAGCACGATGCATGGAGCATCCAACCCATTTACTTCCCACAAAACCCTTAGGAGGTGAGTATTATAAAGAGCCCCCATTTTTACAGTCAGGCAAACTAATGATTAGAGAAGTTAAGTAACTTGCTCAAAGTCACTCAGCCTTGTAGATATCAAGTCTGTTCCACACCTGGGCTCTGAACCACTTTGCTGACAAATGGCATCTATCATGTCAAATTATACAAAACTCGCTTGTTCTTTTTAATGGCTGCATGGTATTACACATAATGAATACTCCAAAAAATTTTTTAAAGATTTTATTTATTTATCTGACAGAGAGAGAGGGAACACAAGGAGGCAGAGGGAGAGAAGCAGGCTCCCCGCTGACCAGAGAGCCCGACGTGGGGCTCGATCCCAGGACCCCGAGATCATGACCTGAGTCCAAGGCAGACCTTGACCAACTGAGCCACACAGGCGCCCCATGAATACTCCAAATTTTATTTAACCTGTTCCCTTACTGAGGGACATTTAGGCTGCTCCCAGGTTTTCTGTACATAAATACTGCTCTGATGAATTTCTGTAGTATAGCAGTAGATAGCCGCAGCTAAGGTCAAAAGTAGGTATGTTTTAAGTTTGGGTAGGTGCGACCCTCCTAAACAGGCTGTGTAAATCTAAACTTCCAGTAGGAGTGTAAGAGAAGGCTCTTCCTGCCATGCCCTCCCAAGCATCAGACATTATCAGTCATTTTAATTTTTGGCAATCTGAGAGATGAAAACTGAATCCAGTAGTCGTTTTCCTTAATGGTAAACGAAGGCATTTTCATGTTTATTAGCCATTTGTATTTCTTACGTGATTGCTCATATTCTCCCCACACTTTTCTATTCCCCTGTCTCTCCTTACTGATTCGTGGGAGCTCTGTATAAATTCTGAATACAATACTGTACCTGCTACATTTGTTTCATATACTTTCTCCCACTTGGGTATCCATACTTTATTTTCCTAGTTTCTTTTGCCATAATTTCACAAAACTGAATTTGTTAAATATTTTAAGACTTCAGGGCTCCTTGTCATGCTTCTAAAGACCTTCCCCATAACTATAAAAGTATATTGCTTTATTTTCTTCTAGAATTTTATGGATTTGAAATAGATTTGAAATAGCATAAAACAGGGATCTAAATATTTATTTCCCCAAAGAAAGGGTTGACCCTTGAACAACATGGGTTTGAACTGTACAGATTCACTTATACACGGAATTTTTTCCATAAACGTTATTGGAAGAGTCTTTGGAGATCTGTGACAATTTGAAAAAGCTCAGACGAACAGTGTGACACTAATCATCTCCCCGTGAGCAGCTCATTTCTCTGACAAATTGCCTATCACAGTAAAAAGTGATCTCTTGTGGTGGTTCTCCCTATTAGTAGTTAAGTTTTAGAGGGAATCAAGTTACATGCAGATTTTTGACTTCGCACGGGGGTTGGCACCCCTAACCCCCATATTGTTCAAGGGTCAACTATAGATATTAAATAGCCCATCCTTTCCTACTGAACTGAAAGTTTTATCTTTATCACATATTAAATTCTTATGTACCCACAGACCTATCTATAGATTCTCCATAATATATTGTAAAATCTAGTAGGGCAAATGCCCCACAATAATTTGTTTCAAATATATTTCTTTGCCATCTTTACTTATTCTTTTATATGAACTTTAGAAGCAACTTGTCAAGCTTTAAAAAGAAATTCTATTGGGATCTTACTGGAATTGCATGTAAGTGTTACATTAATTTGGAGAAAACCTGCTTTATAATACTGAGTTGCTAGCCGGAAGTGGAACGTATATCCATTTATTAACAGCTTTATATACATTTCAGTAAAGTTTTTGTTTGCCTAATATACATTTTTTGGTTAATTATCCTTTCCTATTTTTACAGATTGTGATGCCATTGTGAGAAGTGTCATTTTTTTTCTATAATACTGTATATGTGGTTAATGCTATCATATAGGAAAAATACTCATTTTTGTTGATTCATATTCTAATGATGAAATAATCTTGCTGAAGCTTTCTTTTTTCTGAGATTTATCACACATAGAAATAATTATGTAGGCATTAGCATTTTATCCTATTAACAGCGAATTACACTGGTTTCCTAATATTGGACTATCCTTAACTTCCCACACTAAGCTTACAAAATCATGGTTGTATTATTCTGATAATGATGTGTATTATACTGACAGGTGGGATGGTTCCACATGTTCTTGGTCATATTCTCATCTGGTTTACTTAAAAGACTTAGGCTGATCTGTAGAATAAACCTAGATGCTTACTGTGTTTCTCCATGCTTAGGCATTTCTCTCTGCCAATGCCAAAATGTTTATCTGGTATTTAGGAGGAAGGAGATGGCTACTTTTCATAAAGGAATTGGATGGTTGGCTAGGATGGAAATGGAAGGGTGGATAGATGGATGAAAAGGAGTAATTTTCTCCTATGGTTATTTTCTATTTGTGTGCTCTTTCTTGAGTCAATTTTGATAATTCAATAATTGTTTGAATTTCCAAATTCATTGTTAAAAAGGAACAGTTGGTTGTATCTTTCTCCTTTCTCTGATTAAGCTTGCCAGAGGTGTCTCTATTTTATCAATTTTTTAAAGATTTTATTTATTCGCCAGAGATCGAGAGACAGAGAGAGACAGAGAGAGCACAAGCAGGGGAAGCTGCAGGCAGAGGGAGAGGCAGGCTCCCTGTTGAGCAGGGAGCCCGATGTGGGACTCGATCCCAGGACCCTGGGATCATGACCTGAGCTGAAGGCGGACGCTTAACCGACTGAGCCACCCAGGCATCCCTATCAGTGTTTTCAAAGAAAAGTTTTCTCAATTTTATTTATCAAATCTGTTAGGTTTTTTTCCTTTACTCTTGTTTTCTATAATTTCTGAATTTATAGTTATTACTTAGGTTGCTTGACATTTGGGGTAAATTCTGTTGTTCTTTTTCCTCAAATATTGATTTGGGTACTTAATCTATTTTCAGTAATTCTAAGTTTCTTATAAATAATTTATATTTAAATATACTATCATTCTATTCTATTATTTGCACTTTGAGGGCCGCATTGGCCACAGCTTACAAGTTGTTTTTTTTTTTTTTAATTTTTGTTTATTTGACAGAGAGAGACACACAGCGAGAGAGGGAACACAAGCAGGGGGAGTGGGAGAGGGAGAAGTAGGCTTCCCGCGGAGCAGGTAGCCCAATGCGGGGCTCGATCCCAGGACCCTGGGATCGTGACCTGAGCCGAAGGCAGAACCTTAACGACTGAGCCACCCAAGCGCCCCAGCTTAGAGGTTTCTATAGGAAGCGTTCTCATTCCCAGTAATTTCTAAATAGTCTTTCATTCTAATTATGGTTTTATTCTTTATTCTTTATCTAAATTATAATTTTATTCTTTAACTGAGAGTTTAAAAAAGGTTCATACAAAAAACTGTACATGAATGTTCACAGCATCATTATTCATGATGGCCAGAAGGTGGCAACAGCCCAAATGAACATCGATGGATGAATGGATTTAAGAAAATGTCATAACCATACAATGGAATATTATTGAGCCATAAAAAGAAATCAAATGCTGATTTGTGTTACAACATGAATGAACCCTGAAAACAAGCTAAGTGAAAGAAGGCAGATACAAAAGGACACATATTTTATGCTTCCATTTATGTGAAATGTCTACAATAGGCAAATAAAGGAAGAAGGGAAGTAGGTTAGTGGTTGCCAAGGCTGGGGACAGAAGTGAATGGGAAGGGAGGTCTAGTGGGCTCAGGGCTCTTTTAGAGGTGATAAAAATGTCCTGAAATTATGGAGTGTTTATGGTTGCCTAATTCTGTGAATATGCTTAAAAAAACAAAACAAAACACTGAATTGGGGGCACGTGGGTGGCTGAGTCAGTTAAGCATCCAATTCTTCATCTCAGCTCAGGTCTTGATCTCTGGGTTGTGAGTTCAAGCCCCGCGTTGGGCTCCACACTGGGCATGGAGCCTACTTAAAACAAAACAAAACAAAACAAAACAAAACACCCCACAGAATTGTATACTTTAAAAGGGTGACTCTTATGGTATAAGAACTGTACCTCAAATAAAAACAACAGTTACAAAGAATAGTATTTTAAAATTTCCAAGGCTGTCCTTGTTGCTGACATCTAGTATTACTGTATCTTATTTGAAAAACCTGGACTATGCATGGCATCTAACTTTTGTAATGTGTACAGATTTTCTTTGTGGCCTGGTCCATACTCGATTTTTGTGTCACATGAGTACCTGAAAAGAATATATGCTCTCCTTTTGTTGGGTATTAATACTGTCATTAAACCAAGTTTGTTAATTGAGTTACTAATATTTACTAATATTTTCAAATAATATTTGTTATTGAGTCTCTGGACAATTTCTAAGAGAGACATTATGACTGTGTTTTTAAAAAAACCACTGTAATATAAGTTTTTATTTAAATTTCAGTTAGTTAACATACAGTGTAATATTAGTTTCAGGTATATAATACAGTGATTCAGCACTTCCATACAATACCGGATGCTCATCAGGACAAGTGTCCTCCTTAATCTCCATCACCTATTTCACCCATCCCCCTCTGGTAACCATCAGTTTGTTCTCTATAGTTAAGAGTCTTACTGTACTATTTTATCTTTTTTTTTTTTTTAAGATTTTTGTTTATTTATCTGAGAGAGAATGAGAGACAGAGAGCACGAGAGGGAAGAGGGTCAGAGGAAGAAGCAGGCTCCCTGCTGAGCAGGGAGCCCGATGCGGGACTCGATCCCGGGACTCCAGGATCATGACCTGAGCCGAAGGCAGTCGCTTAACCAACTGAGCCACCCAGGCGCCCTTACTGTACTATTTTAAATGAATATAATTTACTTAGGATAAATAATGTCACTAATCTAGTAAAATTCTACATTTTCTCCTGCAAACTGGTTTCTGAATACTAATTTTTCCGGCTCCTTTTGTGTACTCTTCATCTGTTTCACTTACAAGGAACAATCTCCCCAAAAAGGCACCCCCTGACAACCTTACCACTGAAAATATGTCCTGAAATACACAGGCAAACGCCCTACAAAGACAGTGCCATGAAAGAGTGTGATAAGTGGCACAATCAACATTTAAAGATCACAAATAAGAACAATTAAAATCAACAAGTAACTCAAAAATCGTAAGGGAAGAAGTCACACCTAAAATTGATCTAGACGGGCATTTAGAAACCCTACCATGTGATTTAGTGACAGAAACTAAACATTCTAGTGTGGCCTAGTAGAAAAGAAAAACTACTGTCATTTTTTTTTTTTTTTCTGTTTAGGAGCTGATGTACTGAATCTTTGAAATCGCAGGTTCATTCCGAGGGCAGGCCTCATGTGATGTTTAAAGGGGAAAAAAATTAACCTTGTGCACACCTCCTATATTCAAGATCATTAATGAAAAGCCAGAATGTTTAATTTGCTCTGATGTTTCTGCTTTCTGTCATTTTTGTATAGTTAACAGGATCATAATTTAAGTAAGTCACACATTGTAAATAACCTGGCTATATTATTCTCTCCTCCTTAGTAATTAGGCCCCCTTTTGTTACAAAGAATCCTTTAAACCATTTAACCATGAGTGGTTGTAAACTGCTCGTATTAAAAATTGGGTGCTCCCCCTCCTAAGATGAATAGCACCAAGGAAACGGCATACCTTTTGGTCTCTACATCATTCTCATTTTACTTGAGTTTCTGGAATCGATTTGACAATTTGATAATTTTAATACAGGCATAAAAATCTACTATAAAAAATTCTGGAAGAAAGCAATTCCTACTGACACTGTCACTTTGCATCAGTGCAAAGGAGAGGTGCTGCACAGATTTGTAATCTACTCACTGACAAGCGGTTTCTTTAGCCTCGTTTGAAAATGATCAAACCATTTGGCACGGCAAGAACTGAAGAAGTATTTTAACAAAGAAAAAAAAAAAAAGAAAAAGAAAAAACCCCGCGGTTCTCTCTCCAATTTCACAAGGAAAGCAAAGTAACCTGTAGCTTTGTGTTACTTGAGATTACTTGAAATGCGGATCAGTCAGGATGTTAAAATCAAACCTGTAAAAATCATGCTAAGACTCACAGTCTTAGAATAAAGGACACTCACAAAGATGAGAAATCATCTTTATCCAAAGAGAGAGGAACAGGTATGGAGACTATTTTCTCTTTATTGTGGTAAAAAATACATAGCATTAAATTTATCATCTTAACTGTTTTTAAGTATATGGTTTAGTTGTGGTAAACATATTCACATTGTTGTATAACAGATTTTAGGATTTGGGTAACTTTAAATACTTCAGACACTCATCTGAGTGATACAATCTTTGTCCATGTGTGACTGGCTTATTTCACTTGGCATAATGTCCTCAAGTTTCATCCATGCTGTAAGCATGTGTCAGAATTTCCTTATTTTGAAAGGCTTAATAATATTCTATTGAATGTACAAATGTTCACTGACAGAAAACCACATTTTCTTTGTCCATTCATCTGTCAATGAACATTTGGGTTGCTTCTATTTTTTGGCTATTGTGAATAATGCTGCAGTGAACATGGGTATGCAAACATATCTTCAAAACCCAGCTTTCAATTCTTTCAGGTATACGCTGGGGAATGGAATTGCTGGATCATGTGGGAATTCTATTTGCGGGTCTTTGAAGAAACTCCATACTATTTTCCATAATGGCTGCACCATTTTCCATTCCCACCAACAATGTACAAGGGTTTCAATTTTCCACATCCTCACCAAACGCTTGTTGCTTTGTTTTCTTTTTCTTTTTTTGATAGTTGCCATCATAATGGGTCCAAGATGACATCTCATTGTGGTTTTGACTTGCACAAATTTCATGATTAGTGACCTTGAGCATCTTTTCATACGCTTCTTGGCCATCTATAAATAGATCTTCTTTGGGGAACTGGCTTTTCAAATCCTTTGTCCATCACTTAATCAGGTTATTTGGGTTTTTGTTGTTGACTTACAGAAATTCTTTATATTCTCAATGTTAGCTGCTTATGAGATATATATAATTTGCAAATATTTTCTCCCATTCCATAGGCTGCCTTTTCATTCTGCTGATTGTTTCCTTTAATGTACAGAAGTGTTTAAGTTTGATATGGTCCCATTTGTCTATTTTTGCTTTTGGTGCCTCTACCTTTGGTGTCATATCCAAGAAATCACTGCCAAATCCAATGTCCTAAAGCTTTTCCCTATATTTTCTTCTGGAGTTTTAGGTCTTCAATCCGCTGGAGTTATTTTTAAAGGTAGACTAGAAACTCTAAAAATTATGTTGTCTGATATCAAAACACATTTCTGAGAGAATCAATTCACTATATCTGACATACATTATGCTTTCAACTTTAGGTTTCTAAATTAAATGGACTGATGTGGGTAAGACTATCACAATTACAGTTAGGAAGAAATACTCTTTTTCAGGGGTACATTCAGGAAATAATCAAAGAAGTCTATTCTGCTACCTAGCAAAATAAGATAGTACATAAAACAGTACTTTCATATCTCCTAGCAATGGCAAAAGTATCCTAAAGATCCAAAATATGCTGTAATCCTAAATGACAGATTGCAACAGATAAGAGTTTGAAATGAAACAGCTTTTTAGACTTTCACCACACTACCAACTGAGTTTTAAGCAAAGGAGCAGAACGGAGTGGAAAGAACTGGAAAATGCTGAGAAGACGCGGGCTGAATCTATCCACACGTGGAAATATGCTAGAAGGGCTTTGTGGGACCCTCCCACTCTCATCTTTCCCACCCAAGCCTCAGTCACAGCAGCTCTGCAGTAATTTTTTTTAATCTGTTGAATCAGGCAGAAATAAAAAGGACAAAGGAAAATCACTTCTGTTTGAGCCCCTCCCAGGATTAAAATCCAGTTTCTTCAACTGGGGGGGAACCAATGTAATTCTTTGCCTGTTCTCCAACTTTTCATATATGCCTTCCCAAATATAATTTCCCAAGTCCATTTTGAGTTCTTTTTTTTTTTTTAAGATTTTATTTTTAAGTAAAATCTCTACACCCAATGTGGAGCTCAAATCACAACCCCGAGATCAAAAGTCCCATGCTCTACCAACTGAGCCAGCCAGGCGCCCCTTGTCAAATCCATTTTGAAAAGAAAATGTGCCATAAACTGATTAATAAGGGAAAACAAAAGTTTCAAATACTATCTGCCTCAGGGTAGGTATTCCTAAATATACTTAAATACACAAAATACTACTTTGATAATCAATGCTATTTACCTAGAATGCCTTTCTTATTTGCCTTGACATAAAACTGACCACACAATAGTTATAAAAGTTGAAGAACTACAACGTAAAAGAATCTATCCTTTAAAATTTGACCAAACCCAGTGGTCTTTTATAACAAGTGATACAAAGCTTTTTAACTAGTCGATGGCAATGCAATAATCAGCAATGAAACAAAAATGGGTCCCTTCCTGTGTGTACAGAGAACGCTGTACCATCACTTGGAGAGGGAGAATGACCCACTGCACCACGGTGTGGGCCAGGGCACATCCGAGACTCAGGGACCCCTCACCCTAGTGCACTGCTGACAGGATCTTTATTTGTGGTTTGTTTGGGTATGTTCTGGCCTCACTAAAATGACTTGTAAATATTTCTACTGTTTCCCTTTAGGGAAACCCAGGCTTAGTATAAAATGTGATTCTCTCATGCTTGGGGCCGTTAGGGTAAACGTGCTTCGTGTATCCCACTTAAAAAGTTAACTCAGGAAGAGGTGCAGACTCTGGTAGACACAGTCTGCCTTTCTTCCTGCTGTCTGGTTAATGTAGCAACAGGCTGCTCAGGAAGGAAGGGGAGGGAGACGGACGGCAGAGCTGAAAAGACTGCTGGCTGGCGCGAGGTCGGATTTACCCCACAGACTTGCCCACCATCCTTCCCTGAAACAGGCTACAGCAAATGGTGCCCACGCTGCATTGTGAGTTAAAGTCCCTAATATAGGTGCTGGTAATGTTCTAGATGGTATCCACATGAGTATATATGTACCACACATTTGTAAAAACTAATTGGGTACACTTAGCATTTCTGTATTTGATGTCAATAAGAATTTGAAAAATTAAGTTTTAAAAGTTCCCAATATTGACTTAATATGGCACCAATTCATTCCCATTGGGCTTTTTCTTCACTAAGCTTTTGCAATGACCTGACCTCTCCAAATTCCAATCTCTCTGCCTTCCAATATCCTTTATGCAGCATTAACATATTAAAAACTTCCTGAAGTCCAGATCTGGTCAAATTATACCCCAGGTTAAAAAAAAAAAAAATCCCTGTTTTGCTTTGTTGATTTCAGTTGCTCACGGTCTATAAACTCCCCAGCCTGGCACTCAGGCTGCCCACTCCTCACCCAGGGTCAGCCATGTGTGCTGGTCCAACACGCTCCTCAACGGTTGTCTCTGAGCCTATCCTCGGCAAATTTCCCACCCTGCACTTTGGTTCCATGTTATTCCTTGTCCCATACTTCCATCCCTGTCCAGATTTCCACCTCAGACTGTTAAAACCCTATCTATTTCTTTCCAGATTCCTCCAAGTGGATAATAATAGTAACAACAACAAATAGTTGCTTATTGTGTTTGTTAGTCGATAATGCTTTAATACTCTTTATCACATAGAATATAAGCTCCGCAAAGGGAGGACTCATTTTATCCACTTGTGTATCCTATGGGCTTGAAACAGTGGCTGGAACATAGTAGCTGCACAACAAGTATTTACTGATTTGATAACTTTCATGCATATGAGCCTGTTTCCCATACACTGTGCTTTACACATATCATTTCTATTCCTAAAAACACCCTTGCGATACATATAATACAAGCCCTACAATCTAGATGAGAAAACTAAAGCTCAGACATGTCCATGAACTTGCCCCAGGCCTCCCAGCTCTGAGTAGTCTGGATTCAATATCCTCTTCTTTCGAATTCTCAGAAAACAATGTACCCCCACTGTGGTGTGCATCT